GCTTTTGCTCATGGCTACCGTACATAGTACACGCGTCGTGCAGTGAAGAAGACTTTAGTGTGCTCTCGTGGACTTTTTCTCATTACGAATCGACTCAGTGTGGACACGAAGTGAACTCTTCGTTGTGCGACTCATCCTGGACATTAGATACAGCATCAACGGCAGCTCAAGCTCTCCACGCATCGCACGCCGGCGTAGCGTGGCCACGGCTCACGGGCATCGACATTCACGAGGCCGGCCATCGATTAATATAATCGAACCGTGCGAGTGATTAAGAGACTTCTCATCCCCGTTAGATCATAGACTGCTCAAACTGTAAGCTTCTTATATTTATTAAACGACCAACGGAATTTTACTCAAAACACCAAGAGTGTTCGATCACGTGATTTCTACCCTCGCAAGCGTGCATCCGCTCCCCGAGTCTTTCGCCGCAAAGTCCTCTCAGCCCTGCTTCCAACCGCAGCGGTCCAGCGAGTTCTCCCAAAAGAGATTCGCGAACATTTTTTTGGTCCTTCGAGCCGGATTGCGGCGGAGCTCTCGGACGGATTAGCTCAACTACGCAGTGATCACGTGATCGTCGGCGCGCACAGATACGGTCCTACGCAGCGACCAAGTAATCTCACGGCCCTTCCGCGTGATCGGCGACGCGCACGTATACGGTCCCTCGCATTGATCACGTGATCTCACGATTTCTCGCGTGACAGCTCATCGGTGACGGCTCAACTCTCATCGGGAGAATCCTCAAATCTCTTCGGCCAACGAGACGTCTCATCCTTCTCGCTCTCTCACCATGGCGGACGAGACGAAGACGGGCAAGACGGACCGCTCGAAAACCCCTGTGTTGGAGCTGCCTCCGGGAGACCGCACGTCGGGAAGAACGACGTCACCTGCCCGGTTTCCGACGGAGCTCGCGCTCAAGGTGCAGACGCAGATGGGCCGGATTGCTGCACTCAGGGAGTTCACCGAATCCCTGCCGGATGTCCCAGCGGAGACATCAAACGAGGAGGTCTCGCAGATCCAGAACCTGATCGAGGAGACTCACAAGGCGTTCGTAAAGGAGCACGCCTATTTCGAGGTATCATGGCCTACGACGCTTACTCACCATGAGTACTTCACCGAGAACGCTCACCAGGCTGAGTTGCGATGCTACATGCAGGCGCGACGAGTCATCGGCGTGCTTCGTCACGCATTGGCAGCTCAGCCCGCTCAACAACAGACTAGCTCATCGGCCGGCGAGGCTCGGCAGACGCTCTCACGCTTGCCGGACATCTCACTCCCCAAGTTTACGGGGGAGTATGCCGCGTGGCCTGCTTTCAGAGATCTCTTCACCAGCCTGATCATGCAGAACGAGCAGCTCACGAACGTCGAGCGACTTCACTACCTCCGTTCGTCGGTGGAAGGCGCGCCAGCCCAGCTGATCGCAGGATTTCTCATGTCCGGAGACTCACTCATGCCGTCCTGGGAGTTACTCAAGGAGCGGTATGAGAACAAACGCCTGCTCATATAAGCCTGCCTTGACAAATTATTCGTCAGCTCAACCCCGGTGCCAAGGAAGGCGGCGTCCTTGGATCGGCTGGTTTCGGGAGTCACGGAGGCGCTCAAGGGACTGGAGGCCCTCGAGGTTACGGACAAGCTCGGGGATTGCGCAGTAGTCTATCATGTCACGCGACTCCTGGATCGCGTGACACACGAGCAGTGGGAGAGCTCTATTGGCGCTACGCGTGACTACCCCACGTTCGAGAAGCTCAAGGAGTTTTTGACGACGAAAATACGGGCTCTCGAGCGGATAGAATCATCGACAGCTCATCCTGGTCCCCGCGGAGCATCCTCACCACCGAAGAAGACGACAGCTCACCAGGCTACTCCTCAGTCTGCTCATCAGGTCGATACATCATACCCGTGCGACTGCTGCGGAGCGCAGCATTTCATAGTGATGTGTAGCAAATTCCGGGCGCTACCACCATCCGAGCGGCACACGGTGGCGATACAGAAGCGGTTGTGCTTCAATTGCCTGGGGCGTCATGGTGTGCGCGCATGTAAGTCTCAACGAGGCTGTAAGACCTGCTCGGGCCGGCACCATACAATGCTGCACGGTACACAGACAGCCTCATCGGCAGCTCAGAAGTCCGGTGAGTCATCGGCCACTCCCGCTAATTGAGGAGTAGGTGCAGTCGTCGAGGCCAGCTCACCCGTCCGCTCATCCTGCTCGACTCTACTCGCCACAGCCTTGGCATTGGTCAACTCATCGTCAGCACATCACTCAGCGCGTCTGCTCATCGACTCAGGATCCGAACTCTCCTTCGTCACGGAGAATCTCATTCGGCAGCTCAACATCCCTCGTCAATACTCAGGTATTCTCATCACTGGAATTGCAGGCAAGGAGTGTACTCGGACACGAGGAGTCGTGTCACTCACGTTACGCTCGACACATTCCAACGCAGCTGCCACAATTCAAGCTCATGTCCTGCGGACAGTTACATCAATCTTACCATCGTTCGAGGCGGAACCGGAAGAATGGCCGCATCTCAAGGACTTGGCATTAGCCGATCCTGATTTTCTCATCCCGCGGCCAGTTGACATCCTCATCGGCGCAGACGCTTACGGGCAAATCATCAAGCCCAATATCATTCGGCATTCTCCACTCATGCCGATAGCGCAACTCTCCATTTTCGGATGGCTCGTTCTTGGACCAGTCAATAGGGAAGCAACACGTACATCAACGCACCATGCTTCTACTCAAGTCAACGAGGATGCTCTCAACGAGGTACTGACAAAATTCTGGGTTCAAGAGGAGGTGCCTGCTCACGATGTCAACCAACTCACTCCTGACGAGCAGAGGTGCGAAGAGCACTTCAAGGCCACACACTCTCGTGACTCTTCAGGGAGGTACGTCGTCAGGATTCCGCTCAAATCACCAGTATATCTTCTGGGTGATTCGTACCACGTCGCCCATCAGTGCCTCAAGGGACTACGCAGACGATTCTCAAGGGATGTGAACTATCAACGTCTCTATCAACAATTTATGATGGATTACGAGACACTCAACCACATGACGAAGGCATCATCCATCTCCAGTCGTCGCTCACACTTCTACCTGCCACATCACGGTGTTCTCAAGCCTGACAGTACAACAACAAAGCTGCGAGTCGTATTTAATGGCTCCAGCGCATCCACCTCGGGCTACTCGGTTAACGACCTCATGTATACTGGAGCGAAATTGCATCTGAATATCTCAGATGTTCTCCTCTGGATACGAAGACATCGACACATTTTCGCTACGGACATCACCAAGATGTACAGGCAGATCAAAATTCACAAGGATGACTGGGAGTTGCAACGGATACTCTGGATGGACGATCAACTCAATGAAGTGCCATATCATCTGACAACCGTCACCTACGGGACAAAGGCCGCGCCGTTCTTGGCCGTC